TTTCTTGGGAAACCAGCTAGTTTGTCGAGGTTCCAATACAAAACATATAAAAAAATTATAATTTAAAATATGATATGAAATAAATATCATGTTTATAAAATATAATTTCATTACATAAAATAACATTAAAAATAAAAGATTGAAGTTTAATTTAATTACATATCACGATTTAGAATTACGACGCGGTATTACAATAGGCTGAAATTATGTTATTTTATTAATTTTTTAAACTATATTTTTACATGAATATTTTTAATTTATTGTGTTATTTAAAAAAAACCCAGAAACCTCATTTTTCATCCTGATAACTTTAATTCTTCTCTTATCCTGTTTTAACTAATTTCATCATATCATAACTATCTTACCATTTATTTTTTTAATGGGTCCTTCTGTGAAAACTACACAAATTCTTGTGACAAAAATGCCAAATCCTCTTCAAAACAGCACCCTTGCACTGCATAAAATAACAGAAAACATTGACAAACCCATGAGATAAAAAGATCTAAGTTGAAAAGCATTAGAAATTAATCGAATTGAGAAAATTGTTAATTTGGAATCCATTTGAGAATTGATGGATGAGTATAAATGAGATTAGTTCAAGATTTCTCTCTCGTTTCTTTTCTTTTCTTTTGAGAGTGCCTTTTTTATTATTTTAGGCAAAAAGCAAAAGCTTGAATGAAGAAGGAAAAAAAGGACGATCAACCTCAACAAAGTACTTCACCGGTTAAAAAGCAGTTCCTTAATTCTTTGCACCCTCTTCGTGTAAAGAACAGAAAAGTGAAGAAAATATTTTAATGAAGTGTTCTTAGTTACAGCACCGAAAGGGCAAAAAAACAAAGAAAAAGAAAAGAAAGAAAATTAAATAAAAGAATTGAGCAACACGCTCCGAAACAGCGTGTGCATAAAGTCGAAACCCAAAGAAAGACTCTCTTTAAGTACACTTCCTCTCGTCTCTCCACTGCTATTTCCATCATTGCCACCACTCTCTCACCTCCCTCTCAACAAACGAGAAGAAAGAGAGCAAATGAGTCGCCTTGCACCGTTATCAGAGGAACCCATAAACGAAGATGAAGAATACAGCACAAACTGTTCAAAGAAGAAGGGTTACTCATGGAAAAACTGGCTCAAGACTCATTTCTATCTTGTTTTCAACAAAAAATCTGACCTTAAAGTTCTTCTAAGTGTTCTTGGATGCCCTCTCTTTCCTGTCTCCATCCATTCTAAATTATTACCCATCAATGAGGTACGTTGTTATGTACTACGCATAGGAATGCATGTGTTTTTAGATCTTTTTTCTTGCAAAAAAGGAAATAAAGTTTGCTCACGTTGATCTATTGGTGCACTATTTTCAAAGAACATGTCGTGATATTTGCCTTTCCTAGATTTGTTGTCCTTTTGTCAGCATGTATTTAGGTTTTTCGCTTTGTGCTTGCTGCTTAGGAGTTCTAAGCCTAGGCAAGCAATGTTGTAAGCCCCCCCAACCCCCCCAAAAAAAAAAGGAAAAAAAGGAAAGAAAGTAACCAATCTGTGGTCATTTTCTGAGTTCGGGTGATCAGTGCCTCACTGGCTTTCCACTGAGATGCCTCAAAGCCCCCCCAAGAAACAGGCCAATCAAAGAATATATAAAAAGAGAAAAGAAAAAACCTCGAGGGCCAACATTTTGTGGGTCAATTATTTAATATAGCTATCAAGTACATGTGGAAAAGTATAAAGCGAAAGCGTTAAGATTATAATCAGGGTGTTCTTCTACTGTGTCAGCTGAAATATATACCACAAGAAAAACTAAAGACCATAGAGAGTGAAAACTGAAAAGTGTGCTCCTACTTAATTATTATTATTATTTTTATAATTGCTAGTACTTAATTTCCCTGACTACCATTATTGATGTGGTCTGGTCTGCCTAGCGAACTATATATATATATATATATATATATATATATAAGAATTTGGGTTCAAGCTGGTCATAGTCTATAAAAAAATTATAGATTTTTTTTTTTTGTATTTTGAAGGAAAACATTTAATACAAAAGATTATGTTTGGTGAAAATTTAGATGAACTTAATAATTACTACTGATTTACACTAACTGGCAACTACCGTAACACGTGTTTAATTAACAGGTATCCTCCTCAGCTCAATACATTATACAACACTTCAGTGCAGCAACTGGTTGCAGGAAATTACAAAGAGAAGTGAAGAACATTTTTGCTACAGGAAAAGTTACAATGGCCATGGTTGACGAGCTTGGTGGCTCAGCTATGGCTGGAGCCACTACAATTGCAGAAAAGGGGTGTTTTGTAATGTGGCCAATGGCCCCTAACAAGTGGCTAATCGAGCTAGTTGTTGATGGTCATAAAGTTGTTGCTGGTAGTGACGGCAATGTAGCTTGGCGTCACACTCCTTGGCTTGCCTCTCATGCAGCTAAAGGTGGAGTTCGGCCTCTACGCCGAGCTCTTCAGGCAAGTGGTACTGATTAATTATGCCGATTGGGTTTTAATTACTTCATGTTTTGGTTGTTGCAGTTAATTCATTTTTGCTTTGCATGTGTAGCTACTAGTAATAAATAGGAGTAATAATTATTGATCCTCTTTTGTCTTATTCAATTAATAATGAGTGGTCTAACTTTGGATCTTGGCTAGTGACTCAATAGAAAGAGTAGGGGTGACCCTGAAATCATGGGAAGTCTAGCATTGACACAGTGCCAATAATCAGTGGGGTTAATCGAATTTGAATAAAATAGAAAAAGAAAGAAAGATCCATGAGGAAGTCATTAGATTGAAATCTAATGGCCTCATGGCCATCAACATGGTGTTACATTGACGTTAAATATGGATATGCCGACGATTCAAGTCACAATGAGTTGGGGTGGTGATTTTGGTTGAGAAATGTTCTTCCACTCAACAGTCCCTTGTCAGTAGAATCAGAATGAATAGTTGAGATGAAAAAGAGTAAACCGACTTTATGTGATGCTTGAGTTTACTATTTAAGAAGCACAGATTGGTTGGTTGGTCTCCACTGTGATTTTTTTTACTCTGATCATGTGGGAGCTATCTGAGATTACGTGCCTGTTCATGTGCTCCACATATGCGACTAGGTGCTATTGGTGGTCCCTGTTCAATTTCATACCACATTTTACCTGAATCAAGATCCAACCACCCCCAAGATGCCGGGTCTTGGTTCCCCTTTGTCATATAATGGAGTCGGTTAAATCCTATTTTGTCAGAAAAGAAACCAATGCTAGCTATTTAATGGAAATAGAGACAGCGGTTGTCTTTGACAGTGATGCTCTAGGCACAGACATCCAAAGCTACTCTACATGTGATCATTTGAGACCATCATGGTAACATTAAAAAGTACCCCTCATTTTTTCTGGGATTGAAAAGAAATGTGTTTCATTTATTAATTTTAACATTGTTAAGTAAATGCATAAAGGTTTGGGCTGTCTTCGTAATTCTTTCTCATAGCTCTTTGAGCACCATTTTAGAGGTAATGACCCTTTGCATGAGGTTTGAGTGTAACATGGAGCAGATTGTGTTTTTTTTTTACAATGAACTTGGATTAGATTATTGAATGGGTGAAACAGTTTTGAACTGTTCGTGAGTTTCATATTTATTGATTGTTACCATTTTGAAAACATTCTTGGCTTTCAATTCTGTGGAGTAAAAATTAAAGCAGTACTTGCAGAGGTGATTAAAACACAGTACGAATATATGGAGTGCCATAAAAATCTCGAGTTGTTAATGTTCAAGATGGAATAATTTATGCAGGGACTAGATCCCATGGCAATATCAGCTGTGTTCTCTCCAGCACAATACATGGGAGAAAAGTGTGTCTCAGGCACAGATTGTTTCGTACTGAAATTGTCTGCTGATCAAGCAGACTTGGCTGCTCGAAGCGACAGCACAGCAGAGATGATCAAGCACATAATATTTGGCTACTTTAGCCAAAGAAGTGGCCTGCTGGTGCATCTAGAAGACTCGTACTTAACCAGAATTCAGTCTCCAGGAACATACCCCACATATTGGGAAACCACAATGGCCACAAAAATCGAAGACTATCGGATAGTGGAGGGTGTGATGATAGCACATGGTGGTCAATCAAGTGTGATGATCACAAGGTTTGGGGATAACTTGAAGGAAGGTCTTTCGATAACACGGATGGAAGAGACATGGACAATCGATGATCTTGCATTCAATGTACCTGGACTCTCCATGGACTGCTTCATCCCTCCCGGAGAAATGCAGAAGGACTATCCAGAGAAGAATCTTGACTGGAGATCACCATTGCATCGATGATCATCTTCTGGGGCACGACAGAGCTAAATACATGTGCAAGTGTGCTTTATACATACATATATTTAATATATACTCTTTTTAACTATGACTAGTGTAGTAGAGATGATCTTTAATCTGTGTGAATTTACACATATTATGTAGCATACTTTAAGCTCCTTTTGGTTCCTTGAAAGGAGACTTCTGCATCCAGGTCTACTGGTAATGAATATTTTTGTCACGTAGACTCTCTAGTCACACCAAAATTGTATACATATTTGCTCGATGGAGAGTCCTCGATCCTTTGAATTGTAATTGAGCTTTTATATCCTTAATCAATGGATCCTAACAGTATTTTCTTTCTAGCTGTGCTAGCATTTTTTTCTGGCCATGGTATTTTCTAAATTTTTTCATGTTACTTTCCCATATTTTTCTTTCAAGCTGCAGCTATGTTTTTTTTTTTTTAAAAAAAGAGTTTTACAAGATGATATATGCTATATTGAAAAAAAAAAAAGAGTAACATTGATATATCGTATATAAAAAGATATTATTGTCAAGACTTAAGATATGAATGCTGTAATCTTATTTCTCTCTTTTTTTTTTCTAGGAAGGTTCTAACAACACTAAAATATTATCGTTTAAGCCTTTAAGGTATTTGTGGTGGATATTATTCTTTAAAATATTTAAAAAAAAAAAAATCAAAATCATGGTCGGGACTTTTTTAAAAAAAAATCAAAATCATGGTCGGGACTCGGAGTCCCATGCCATGTTCGTGTATAGAAGACAAGAAGAGAGATAACATAAGATAGAACTCCCATTGAACCAAAATGTTCCCTTTTGTCCGTTATAGCCGTTACCTTTCCCGCTTCAAAACCCCACATTTCCCAAGATCCCAACATTCCACACTTCCCTTCTCCACCACCACAGAAGATTACAACAAACCTTCCCGACCCGATCCGCCTCCGATTCGAGTCGCACTCACTGAGTCAGCTGGTCGAGGCGTGTTTTCCACTAGGAAAATCGGTGCTGGAGATCTCATACACACTGCAAAACCTATTTTGGCTCATCCTTCTCTTTCAACTATTAACACTGTCTGTTATTTTTGCCTCAAGAAGTTAACTTCGACGGAGTTTCACGGAAAAGGGGTTGCCTTTTGCAGTCAAGAGTGTAAAGAGAAAGCTAAGGTATACTGGGACTTGCAGTTTTCGTTTAATAGGCAACGGACATTGGTCACACAGTAAAATACCCATAACCTGTTTGATATTTTGATTTAGAGACAAAGCTGGTTTATTGGCATGGCGTGAGAAATAGCTCAAATTTGATGCGTGATTAATGTAGACCATATTTTAGTTAACTGGGTGCGTTTTACTAGTTCTATTTACAGATAATAAGTGCAATTCAGCTTAAGAGGTTGAATTATGATTTTAATCAAAGGTGGGTCACACACACACACACTTTGTACTGTCGAGAAGTTGCTTCCGTTTTGGGGCTTTCTTTGCTATGACTTTTTATTGGATGTTTCCTGGCCAAGGACTGGATTTCATAAACTAAATTTAAGTTTCTCACAACTTTTTCAGGTCTTTTATGAAGTTGAGACGAAAGCAGATTGGTTAGCTTTTGATGACTATTGTCGGTATGAAGGTTTCTCAAACCCATTTCATTTGACTTATTTGTATCTTGACGATGCCTTGATCTCATCTTGATTTCTTTAACTAATAGCATTGAAGTAAGCCTAATTTGTAATGTCGTGCTCTACTCTACTACAGTCTATTATGAGATTTAGCGATTTACTCAGTGGCATCGAGAACAACAGATCATTTGTTTAATAGTTGTAGAGCCAGATATTCTTTGACTGTGCTCGTTCCTCCTCTTAACTTCTTGTGTAAAAGAATATTATATCAGTGAGCTTTCAGGTTCCAGCTCCTTTCATTAGCTCTTTCCACAGTTGCTCTTTTGTTGCAGGGAAAACAGAAATGAAATGCAGTACTTATCTTCCAAGGATTTGACTTGCAGGGCATTTTTTTTTTGTCTTGTATTCTTACTCTTTGATTCTGTCATCATGTAGGAACAAAGGTCTAAAGTATCCACTTCTTGTAAAGCGGTTGGCTTGCATGGTTATATCAGGAGCTGCATCTGCTGAAAGTCTTGACATACTTCAACCATCTAATTTATCTCATGAGATGGTTTTAGAGGTGAGACTTTACATGAAGCTTTTATTTGTGATAAGGTGTTATATGCCAAATAATGGCATTTTATATGCCACTTGATGTGGTTTGAGCTTGAAAAAATCACTATTCTTGTTGCTATACAGAGAATGTTTGCCATACCTTTTTTCTCTTCCAAAAAAGAATTGTGATACGGACCTCTTGACCACATAGTCAAGCAAACACCAACGAAGTAGATAACAACCCAGAAAGCCAAAAAACCAGGTTTGATAGAACCTTAATCCAAAGATAACTCTATACTTAAGAACCAAAGGTATTGAAAAAAGGACTTTGATTTAGAGATAACTCTGTATTTAAGAACCCTAAATATGTGAATGACACCATGAAACCAATTAATCTTCGATAAGTCTATGTATGATCTTTATCTCTACGAAGAAAGATTGTTTTGCCGGAAAAAAAAAAAACTTGCGTTTATTCTCCAACTTGTTGCTAAAATTTGTAGCTAAAAAAAACATAATATAGTCTCTTCTAACTAACTCTAGTGGACCCCTTTTGGGCTGCAAAATAATAGGCCAAAACTAGTAATCAACTAACATAAGTCTAATAATAAAATAAACTCTTAGACAATGTCTAATGGGCTAGAACAAATCCAAATTAAAAAAATAATTATTCAATATTAAATAAATGAATAAATAAAATTGGATAATAAAAATAAAGTCTTCTTGCCAAATTCTTCCATATAGCTAGAATCTTCAATTTTCGCATGTTCTTGGTAGATTTTTAATTCTATTTTCAAACACATCGTTCTCTGTTGTCTGGATGAATTATTGAGCCTACCATAAATGGTTGGTGAACTTGAGATGTCTAGTTTACAGCTCAAATTGAATCACAACAACATCCCACTTGTAGCTTCGGATATGTCCCAAACAATACACAAAGGCCTAGTTTGATAGATTTGACAAGATTTGTCTAGTAACTTTAACCCTCTGAATAATATGTTTCTGAATTCTGTTTGACCAAAAAATTTATCAAAATATAGTTTCATGTGTGTAGTATCTCTTTGTAAAATTTCAGCTTGTTCTGATATACGGTTTGAGAGATATGTTTGATCTTGCAAAACTAGTCAGCAAATATTTTAAGGTCAAATTCAGGCATGACTTGGTTCGGATCAAATTCCTTTCTCTATTCTCTTGTCTGGTTTCATAGGGAAATCCTCCTCCACACCTTTCTGCTTTGCTGATCAATGCATGCAATATTTGTAGTAATGAATAGAGGATTTGTTGTTAATTTGATGGAGTGCTTTTACCCGCTCATTTTTATTGGCCTTATTTGAGAGAGTTGAATGTGTTAGCTTTATCAATCATATATTTTTCAGTCTCCCATCTAGCCTTCTCAAATCTTTGAGCAGTCTTATCATTTTTTGGTCTCTTAACTGAAAATGTTATGTTACTGTTGACAGTCTTTTGAGAAAGCTCATTGTCTCGCTTTTGAAGTTATTGTCTATTACAGAACCTAAGTCCCTGCTCGTATGATCTTTTAATTGGAATATGATTTTTGGCTCATAATAGATTGATATGTTTTGCTCTGTCCTCTTTCTTGATGGTATTGCTACAATTCAGTTGTGCGAAGATTATTATAATATATGAACATTTTACAGATGGAAGAGGGCTATGGCTTGCTGAAGAGTGGTTTTGCTATGGCAAATATTTCAGATGAACAGATGGCTTGTATCCTGGATAGTCTATCATTACCTTTTAATTTAAATTGCTCTGTGCTTACTGTTGTTGAATGAGAATTTGTCTTTGACATTATAAGTCCTCACCAAGGAATGGTACAACAGCGTACTGGCACGAATTCGCATAAATGCATTTCGTATTGAATTGGCAGTAGGATCATATGAGGATCTTCTATCATCAGCTGCAGCCTGTATAGAAGCTGAAGCTGCTGTCGGAAATGCTGTGTACATGCTTCCATCCTTATACAATCATGATTGTGGTAAATTCACCCTTTCCTTGACATAATGCTGGGGTATATTATAAAGGAATAGTTCATTTATTATTTGTTTCTGATAAATTCATGCTGTTGGTAACTGGAGTTTTTGTTGAAGCATGACTATGCATAGTCAATTTGTGATATGCAAGTCTGCAGTCCATCTTATGTAGTAATGTCTTTGGTGATTCTATTGATAAATCTTCTCTCAAATCTTGAAATTTCAGTCATTGATCGGAAAATCATATTGATCTTTAACAAGGAATTAATAAACATAGTCTGTCCACCCTACTGAACTTACCAGGATTTTTTCAATTGGCTTTGCATTCAATCCTAACACATCTGCCATAGACCATGCCTGGAATTCATCGAACTGTTCTATCAATTATTTATTGCAGATCCCAATGCACACATTGTATGGATAGACAATGCAGATGCACAGTTGAAGGCCCTTTGTGATGTTGAGGCAGGTTTGTCTAATGAAGTGTAGTCTTAATTTGTTGTCCTTTCCCCCCTCTATAAGTAGTAATGTATTAATTTGATTTCCTTCAATGTCAAATATTCTGGCCATCGGTTTCATATTTGAGTTGAGAATCACTATAATGGTCTTACTAGTCTTTTTTATTAGATCTCCACTACTCATGAAGGCTGTTAGCATTAGGGCTGTAGCTACTGTGAAGTCAGGGAGAGAAGTTGCTTACAGTCCAATGGTTTCAATGGATTTAAAAACTTTGTACATTGGCGAAGAACAAGAGAGTTCTGACAGATGCAGATGAATAGAGTTTCAAGTTTTGGGGAGCAAAAGGAAGAACGAGAGAGATGGTAGGCTAGGGAGAGTGTTGGTGGCTGTTTTGCTAAGTGAAATGGGGGATAATTTTGGGTTTAGGTTAACTGGTTATTTAATATATATACCCCTCTTTTTTTTAGAGATATTAGGCTCTTTTTGTCTGGTCCAGTTTAATGGTTTCAGTTTTTGAAACCAAAACCAAACCAAACCAAGTGGGTTTTATGGTTTTTAAATCAGTTTAGTCGGTTTTTCCTCTTGGTTCGATGTTTTTGGTTAACTCAGTTTTCTCAGTTGATCGGTTTTTGTTAACACCCCTAATTAGCATAGTTAAGCATTACTGGTTTGCAAAAATGGATGCTTGAGATGTAACTAGGAAGTCGAGAAATCATTTGACACCTTTGAGTTTATGCGAAGTTTGTTTTGTGCATCTATTGTTTTGTCTCTACTACCCAAACGACTTTTGGTAGCTAGTCGTGTGCTTACATTGAGCAGTTACACGACTGCAATTTGTGGGTTGGGCTTGCCTGGTTGTAGGAAAATCCGGCAAACCTTGTCATGTGAACGCAAAAATCACAAATAGCTTCTGTTGGTATCTTGCAGATGAAGAGCTCCGTATCTGCTATATAGACGCAAGTATGGATCATGATGCTCGGCAATCTTTCTTGCTTCAAGGGTTTGGTTTCAAGTGCAATTGCCTTCGGTGTTTGTCAGGGGATTAATGAAATGCCATGCTTTTGCAAGAGAAAGATGTTGACGTGATGACGGCATGCTTGTTTGATCATTTTTAAGATGGTTTACAAAGGGAGAGAGTGTTTCTTTCCTTGCCAGTGTACCCGTGAAAGAATTAAAAATAAAACTTTGCTGTCTTGTTTTGCTTACAGCTCCTTGGTTTTGTCATGGAATTCTACGGTCTTTTTCGTGAAAAATAAGAATGCGTTTGCCGGGAGTCGAACCCGGGTCTATTGCTTGGAAGGCAATTATCCTAACCGTTGGACTACAAACGCTGTTGCAGAATTTGAAGTTACAATTTTATAAAGAATTGGTCATTTCTGTTGTCGGGGTAGGAAGAGCTAACAATGTCTATTGAGAAATCAACATCCTCTACAAGGTGAACGTAGGTTTTACTTTTTTATTTGTATTTTAAAAATATTTTAAATTTTTTTTATTATTTTACTTTAAACTAATTTTTTAAAATATTTTTAGATTATTTTGTTAATTTTTTTTAAAAAATAAAAAATATTATTTTGATATATTTTTAAATAAAAAATACTTTAAAAAATAATCATAAATACATATAAAATATCATCCTATATATTTTTTTTCCTGAGGAATACTTGATTGAAAAAATACCTCAAGTAAAGGATTATTTTGGCTCTAGTGTTGTGAAGGACAAAAACATCATTATAATATAATAATACGCATGCCTTTCATGGTGAATCACTGAACACTCAGTTTTTTGTGGATAATATCCTTAGTGGGATTGCATAAAAATCAGATCAAGATACGACTCCGTTACATTAGTTCTATCAAATCATTAGTTTTTACTTTAAATATTTGAATCTCATTCTCTGATGAGGTAAAAACTCATAAATGGTAGGTTTAATCTGAGCCAAGCACATGTCTCCTACCCATCTACACACCCTTTCCTCTATTTTATTTCATGAAGAACTTAACTGTGACCAACTGTAACCCAAAAAACAATAATGCAAAACTACATTTTCTAAACAAGAATTACTAATCAAATGAGGGATATAAAGAGACCTCCCGCCATCCTAGTCTTTAATGGTGGTAAATGTGAAGGGGTGGCAAAAAGAGAGCTCTTGTAGCTAGAGATTCTCCTATAAAAACATTGCCATGAAAATATATATACCTAACCCTCTTTTCCTTTTCCCGTTAACCAAACCAGACCAAAACGTATGTCATCTTTATCTTATAGAGCGTAGTTAGTTTACTAGCTTTTATTTCTGCTCTAGTCTAGATAGATTTTAGCTAAGGTTTAAAGCCAACCATCTCTTTAACTGCGAAATATCTTTAAGCGCATGTCAATTCTCCTTCACTTGCACCCAAAAGACTCATAAAAGTGTCTAGTAAGTGCGGCTGGTGCGTTCTGAGGTGGAGGAAGAGGAATGTTGTTGTATATTGCCAAGGTGGTGGAAGAAAGGCAATAATGTCTAGTGGATTTCCTTCAATTTTAACAGAAAGATCAGCAGTGGGTAGTGATCAGGATCATAAAGCAAGCTGTTAGGGATTCAGGAAGATTGGTTTTGTCTCGAAATGGAAAAGGGCAACCTGAAATTGCTGTTACGGACCATGTGCCCTGTGGTGGACCAACTTGTTCTTCTTTGGTGGAGATGCAAGATGGTATTGGCATTGTCAAATTTCTTAGAGGGAACTGTTTCTTCATCAATGGTGCAACTGGGTTTCTAGCCAAATGTATAGTGTTCTAATTAGATTTTCTATGCCCCGAATTCTTGCTTCTTTTGATGATAATTAACACGTACCATATGCTAAAACCTGCAGTTCTTATTGGGAAGATTTTAAGGACCATGCCTGATGTGGGAAAGATATATCTGTTGATCAAGGCAAAAGACAAGGAAGCTGCAATTGCGAGATTGAAAAATGAGGTGTGTTCCTCTTGATCATTTCCTGTCTCCTAACTTTCATTGACTTATTAATCAATCGCAGAGATTTCATTTATAAATGGTGAATGAGAATTTGATTTATCGTTTTTACTTGGATTATAAATGCAGAGCTATTCAAGTGCCTCAGAGAGACCAATGGAATTTCCTACCAGTCTTTTATGTTGAGCAAACTAGTTCCTGCGGTAGGAACTGTCTGCGAATCCAATCTTGGGTTCGAAGAAGATTTAGCAGATGAGATTGCTAATGAAGTTGACGTAATCATTAACTCAGCAGCTAATGCAAGTTTTGATGAAAGGCACGGCCTCTTTCCATACCTAACATGACAATTTTCTCCGGTACTACTATGTATTTTCAAGCTATATTCTACTGTTGCCTTGTGACCTTGTGGAAATGCAGGCATGATGTTGCTGTTGATGTCCACACGCGAGGAACTTGCCACCTCATGAGATTTGCGAAGAAGTGCCAGAAACTCAAGCTCTTCTTGCAAGTATCAACGGGTTAAGTTATAATTTTATATGACATCTTTTAGGAGGGTCTTCTAATGGCAATCCTTAATGGTTTGCATGGCTAGAGAATCCAATGTCCAGAATAAGTTGGATTTTGGTTATTTTTTGGTTACAGCTTATGTCAATGGACAAAGACAAGAAGAATTATGGAAAAGCCACTCTGTTTTGGCGACTGCTTAGCAAGGGAAAATTCAATAATCTCTGGAAACACAGCATTAGACATCGAAAATGAAGTGAAGCTGGCCTTAAATTCCAAGGAAGATTTTCAAGAAAATGAAGTGGCTCAAAAGATGAAAGATTTGGGTTTAGAAAGGTGAATGATTCCAACTTTCCTTTTTCTTTCCTCTACAATTTCTGAAGGAATCAAAATGAATTATATTGGTCAAGATGTAGTAATTGGGAAAATGGCAAGTAGAAGTGAATAAATTGTGACTTGAAGTGTGATAGTTGACACCTAAACAGGGCAAAAAGATATGGGTGGCAAGATGCTTATGTATTCACCAAGGCTACGGGGGAGATGGTGGTTGATAACATGAAAGGAGACATGCCGGTTGTCGTAATTCGATCTAGTGTCATTGAGAGCACATGGAAAGAATCATTCCCAGGATGGATGGAAAGGAATAGGTATCTCTTATCGAACCTTTTATCATCACATTGATTAATTTCAATGATTCAATATTATTCTGTTCAGCTAAATGTATCTTTCATTCTCTTTCACCCTTTGTCTGAGGATGATGGATCCTATAGTTTTGTGCTATGGAAAAGGGCAGCTCACAGGTTTTTAGCAGACCCAAATGGAGTCCTTGATGTGGTAACTAGTTCTTAATTCTCATAATCCCATACTATTACAAGGAAAGTAATACCCCATCTTTCTTTGCTTGTGAAGAATTGCTTCTTTCTTGAAATTTGTTGGAGGTCCCAGCAGATACGGTGGTTAATGCAACATTGGCAGCAATAGCTTGGCATGGAATGGAGCAAAAATCAGATATCAATGTCTACCAGGTTGCTTCATCCGTTGTCAATCCACTTGTTTTCCAAGACCTGGCTACATTGCTCTACGAACACTACAATTCCTCTTTTTTACATGGACTCAAATGGCCGACCAATCCATGTTCCATCAATGCAGCTCTTCAGCTCCATGGAAGACTTCTCTGTTCATCTATGGAGAGATGTCATTCAGCAAAGTCGGTTAGCAGAAATGGCCTCATCAGATAGGAAGCTGTCGCAAAAACATGAAAATATATGCAGAAAATCACTGGAACAAGCAAAGTACATGGCCAATATATACGAGCCATACACTCTATATGGTGGAAGGTGAGGACATATATGATTTACTTTACCCTTACACGATGCAAAGCTTAATCAATTTGAAAGGAAAAATGTATAAAAGCAGGTTTGATAATAGCAATACTCGAAAATTGATGGAGAGAATGTCAGAAAATGAGAAGGGGGAATTTGGATTTGACGTGGGAAGCATTGACTGGAGAGATTATATTACAAATGTACATATCCCAGGCCTGAGGAGGCATGTCATGAAGGGGAGTGGAATGCGTGGCTGAATGCTAAATAACTTTGTCAAACCATGTAAAAATATTCCTGCAACTACTTGCAATAAGTTTGTCAGCATTAATCCTTTTTCTTCTCTTATGAACACAGAAAATCATGAAAGGGAGGTATAGAAAGTAGCAGTGCATTTTAGCTATAAGATCGATGTATGAATTTGTGAGCAAATCCAAACAGCATGTTGAAACTTTCCATCTATCTATATATATATATTTTGCAATGACTCCATCGGAAAAAAAAAGAAAGTATTTTTTGGGTTAGAATTTCATGACACGACTTCTTCTTTTTTACCAACTTCATATTTTTTTCAATACAAATTTAAAGTAATTAAAATACAAAATTCATAAAAATTAAAATAATTTATTTAGGGGAAAATGTATTTTTTAAAAACAAAACTTCATTTTTGTTATTTCAATCTATTTTTTTTATGAACAATATTTTTTTTATCAAAGTTGTTTTCATACGAAAATTATATTTTCTCGATACATTATATGTCAAAACATCATATAATCATAATTGTTTCAACTCATCAATCAATGGATAAAAAAACATTTATATTTTAACCTGAACTATTAGAATCGGGCATAATAGTAAATAAAAATATAAACTTCAGCCTCATACACATCTTTGATGGCAAGTTGTAAATCGTGATTATCACTAGCTAATAAGAATAAAGAGTAGCAAATAACTAGAATGGAATAAATCTGTTTGTACATGACCCAAGACGTATGTTTCTTGATTCCGCTAAAAAATCAAGGATACACCCTATTAAAATGTTTTAAGGCTTCATTATCAAAAGAATGTATCAACACTCCATCCACTATATCATGTGCTTAGCAGTTTTTAGTAACATGAATAACTTTTGAAGTCTATGTGTTATTAGAAAGTATCTATGTTTTCTATACGTGACAATAGTTATTTCCCTACTAGTTTTGGGTTTATAATGAGCATGCCTACATTTTTTATATATGTTCAACTCTGTATTTTTAAGATAGTATAATATGTATAAGTTGAAACATATGTTAATTTTGCAATCTTAGACTGAGAGATGTCATCACGGATTTAATAGCATAAAATTTTTTTTTCAGCCTATTCCTTTCAGGTAAACTGCTTCTTGTTCACTCGATAATTCTATTATAATCAGCTTCACTTAACCCATGAACTAACTTGATGGTAAATACTAGTGCAACGATAGATAATTGACTATAATTTGTGAACCCGTCCTATAATGGTTTGTCAGAGTTTTTTAAAAGATTAAAAAACCTAGCCGCATCTATATTAGGTTCTTCATCTACGATTTGAAATTGACCTGCATAACCCTCATTCATTCTCATTGTATCCATAACCATATTTCTATAATGATCATTATTGTTATCTACAACTTTATGAACATTGCTATGACTAAAAGTTGACCCAACCATCTTTTCAATCTTGATCTCGTGAGGAATATATAATTCTCCGTGTACACACCAATACATGTATATATGTATGAATTTTTTTTATAAAAGATGTATCATTATATTTGGATCAAGAAACCTTTTATTCTTATACCTTTTATATAAACATCTAATATCACCTTCACCAATATTTCTTGGATCAAATAGTAAGTAATTAATAAAATCTTGAATCTCATTATATAACTCATCCTAAGCAACCTTTCGAGTGAATGTTGATATATCCATGAACGATCATTTATTATTTATGATATTTCTATATAAAATATTGATGATAATATACATTCATTAAATACTTAAATTAAATAAATAATATGCAATAATTTATATAAGGATAGATTTATAATTTGATGAGATAATTTTTTTAATTTTAAAATTATAGAATTTTTCCCTTGTTTTCAGCCACATTTTAAATTGTTTGTTTTAACTTTTATAGTTGAAATTATGGTTAGGTACAACTCATCCATACATAAAATTTACTTATAAAAACTAATATTTTTTATTTTTTATAATTTTTTTAATAAGTCAATATCCAACCCACAATTTCCGCCTCTAAAACAAAGATACACTAAGATTTGTTTCATCGTGAGGCTCTTGTCTCGCCCAAAATGAGAATATCTTCTTGAACTACAGGACCACAGCTAAGCTCATAAACAAGCAAACAATTATTTGTCGGCTGCATTAATGTGGACAGCATCGGAGAGACCGTCACACATGTGTCCCACAGGCCCTTCTTAATTTTGTTTAACGTGGGACCAATGCAAGTGGCCAATTAAGTCACTTTCAACCAATTTTTTATTAAAATTTAAATTGTTTTTTATTTCAGATTTTTTTAAAATATTTTTAAATTATTTTAATGGGTTAATTTTAAAAATAAAAAAAATATATTATTTTAATATTTTTCTGAATAAAAAATAATTTCAATCTGTCTGTATCTTGCCTACTTGCCTTAGTCTAATGTCAATTTTTCAGCCAAGAACAAAATATGAAATGTCATTTGAAATGGTCAGCTATTTCTCCTCCTTTTGAAGTCAATTAAATCTAGATATTGTACGCGACTGAGACTTAACCAATTTGGTCAAGTTTGCATGGCTGCCATGAACACTCTAGGAACCTTCTCAATAAAAAAACAACTCTTATTTGATAAATTCCTGGAGAAGGAATTAGAAATTTAACATTATTTGGACGTTACGATTGAAGTCTCTGTTATTGTTTTTTGTGGAACTTACAGTATATTTGGGAATTTTAAGAGGAGGGGAGAATAATCAAAGAGAGAGGACTTGTTTTGATTCATAACAAGGTGAATGGAAGTTTAAAAATAAAAATAAAAAAATTTCATTCTACCTTCAATGTTTAAACCTATGATGATGTAAAATATATCAATTTTTTTAAACTCATTCTCACATATCAATTATTATTGTCTTTCGCCTCTCTCTCTATATATATCTAATAAAATATAAATAAGCATGCGTATTTATGGGAACCACGTTATTATATGTTATTGGGTCGAAAATGTTATAAATAAAAAAATTATAAAATTTAATTTTTAATAAATTAGATGTTGGAGAATGAATTATGGATAAAAACTAATTATATAAAAGGATTAAAAAAAATTATAATTAAAATAATGAAGATAAATATTAAAATAAAAAATAAATTAAAGGGAATCCAAGACAATCTATTTATATATTTGTTTTTAAATTAAAGAAAGTATTGCCCTAACACAAACACACACCAGCTATTTCATCTATGTTTCATTATGGGTTGTAATTTTTTTTTTTTAAATAACTATGCAAGTTATTTTGATAAAAAATTATATAAAAAATTCAAAATATAAATCAAAAGGATCATACAAGTACCTAATTAAAATTATATAAGATAATTGAGTTATAATAGATTTATTTTAGATGCAATGGTTTGGTTTTACTGAAAAATTTATGTGTTGATATTGTTTTGAATTGTTATTTTATTTGATGGAATAAAATTTATTAAGTATTTATATGCAACAACATATATTTTGGTATTTTATCATACAAGCAAGGTTAATCATTACCCTTTCATAATGTGTTGCAAAATCCACACAATATAAGCATTTTTTTTAACTCACTATATTTATAAATAATTATTTTTTAAATTATTTTATTTAAAAATATATTAAAATAGTATTTTTTAAATTATTTTTTATATTAATATATCAACATGATTTGAAAATATAAAAAAAATAAAAAAATCATAAAAAAATACTTTTTGAAAAAAGAAAAAAAACAGTTTATTACTGTTAACATGTAATTTCAGTAGCACGAGCTAAAATGTTAATATTACTAGTTTCCTTTTCTTTTTTAAATTTATTCAACCTTTTTGTTTTTCATCCATACAATTTTCTTTTCGTACTTCTTGTTTGTTCTTCCGCCTGGCAAATCCACCGAAGCCCGGCCGGCTGAAATTAAGAATCACAATAAAAAATTAAGAGGAAAAAAAAGAGTAGAGTAAACATTCAAACCTGCCGAGTCCAAATTCTTTCTTGCGTTGGCTGGTTCTATTGTTTTCTCCTTTTTGTTTACTTTCTTTGATCCCTCTTTTTTAGGAGGGGATTTAAGAGATACTGATTAATTAATGGAGAGCATATCGTTATGGCAAGGTTTGGCACTTTGTGGGATTGTGTTGTGGATTGTTATATCTTCATCCCTTGATGTCACTCGAAAGCTTAGAACTTTGGTCCAACCTTGGGTTTCTCACCATGTCATCACTGGCACTCCTATCATCCTCCAGATCCAGGTTTCTGTCACTTTTCATCAATATAAACACAACCCAGATATTCTTCTTTTGTATTGAATTCTGTGTGTGGGATTTTTTTTTTATTTTTCTCATCTTTTTGTTGCATTTTTTTTGTTGCTCTTATTTGCAGAAATATCAGCATGGATTTTTGGATGCTTTATTCTCTGGATCATCCTGTGTTGTTTCTGTGCCTTTCTACACTGCTTTTCTTCCTTTGCTTTTCTGGGTATGCTCTATTTATTTCTGTTTAGAGGTTATTTTGGATTTTATTGTTGTTTTGGTAATAATTGAGTGGTTTTTGGGTTCACAATGTAGAGTGGGCATGGCAAGTTGGCTAGGCAAATGACCCTTTTAATGTCTCTCTGTGATTATTCAGGAAACTGCATAAAGGTACTTATATACTTTCTTTCTTACCCGATCCATGCCATTTCTTTTGCTGTTATTGTCTTTGATTTGGAAGATGAACTGCAAGGCTACAGGCTTTCTTTATTTTATCCGCTCACTGTTGATATTTTATTTATCAAAGGATGTGGTATCAGCTCCTCGACCCTCTTGTCCTCCTGTTAGGAGAATAACTGCCACAAAAGATGAGCAGGAGAATGCTTTGGAATATGGATTGCCTTCTTCCCACACTCTTAACACAGTTTGCTTATCTGGGTATTCATCTTCCTCCATTCGTACTCATCTTTGCAATGTGGTTTTTGACAAGGGTTATAGGATTTACCAGGCATCTGACCGTGTGTTATTCAAGTAATTGAAGAATACCAGTAGCTAATTTATGAGGCATTGTGCATGTTCCAAAGAAACTAGAGAAGTTTTTTTTTTCCCTAGTCAAGAATACTGAATAATTCTTCTTTAGCTAAGCTCCTGATTCTTGCTTATTGATATAAAGCTGATCTTTCTTTTTTCTTTCGTCTCCCTTCTATTTTCAATTTTTTTCAAGGTTCTAGCAGTGGTGTGATTATAATATTAATTAGTTGGTTGTTGTCTCCTCAAAAACTCAAATGTGGTTATTATATTGCTTTGAAATTTGCACCCGAACATTCTAAAGCATTTTTTTTATCGGACTAACTTTACTTTGTTTAAATAATTTTCCAGATACCTATTGCACTATGTTTTATCCTATACCCAAAATGAAGATGCCTCTTTGAAATTTGCGGGATATGCCATTGTTTGCTTGATTGTTTGCCTCGCTGGCTTGGGTATGTAGTTGTCTTTCGTAATTTTTGGCAGCATTATCAGTTTTTCCTTTTAGATTTTCCCAAAATGAAATTTTTTTTTTCTTGGTAGGAAGAATTTACCTCGGAATGCACAGTGTAATTGATATCATAGCTGGTCTTGCTGTTGGTTTTGTGATCCTTGCCTTTTGGCTATCCGTCCATGATTATGTCGACAGTTTCGTAGTCTCGGGACAAAATGGTATGTAATCTTGTGGTTCTAGCATTCATGGTTTTCAAATTTTGATTTGCAGAAGCTACTTTTAGAACTATTAAATTGTTTTCAAGCCAATCAAGTGGCAAAAATTTATAGAAGGAATGTGTGTTTGATGAGTATGATTAAGCGAAACCTTCACAGAAGAACGCTACCTTCTTCCCATGTTATCATAATTCTACAGTCCTTTTCCCTCTTCAGTCTATTCACATTTGAGCAAATTCCTATATGAGGCTTTGAATACCAATCAAAATTTCTGAATAGCCCATCAGCTCCAAAGTTGGTGAGCAAGACATGAAATTTTTGACAAATAGGAAGACTATTGGAGACGAACCAAGGTACAATTTTGGAGAGACATGAAAACTCTATGGATGCCTAGTGCAGAGCCAACAATCCTAGAATGAGTTAGTTGGATGAACTTTATACAACCAATACCAAGATGGAATTTTGCCTGCTGGCAGGTTACAAATGATTGTCCTCAAGCTTTCTTCCTCTCAAATGGAGAAAAGGTATGCAAATACCGGTATCCCATTATATTGAAAAGAATTTGAGGGTTCTAATTACGTGCCCTCTTTAGGGACACATCTTTTTTACTGAATCATGACTCAGGATATTGTTAACAATTTGATTGGGGTTGTTTAGGTTCCAGGGGATGAATTTTTAGTGCTTGAATTATGAATTTTGTACTTACTTTTGACCTCACCTTGTTCAAAGAAGGTTTAACATGAAATCACACTCCCCATTCAAATAACAGCATCAAAATTTTTAATCTGGGTAAATGTGCAATTGTTGTATTCTCGTTATGTATGTCCTATTTCACTTGCAGTGACAACATTCTGGGCCGCCCTAAGCCTTTTATTGCTTTTTGCTTATCCGACACCAGAACTTCCAACTCCAAGCTTTGAGTTCCACACAGCCTTCGATGGTGTTGCATTTGGAATAGTAAGCAATTACTCACCCATTAACTTTGGAATAATGTTTAGCTTTATTTGTCTGCCTTTTCTGTTATATCAATTATCATGCGGGGGGAAGTGTTTGCACTTTTATATTTTCTTATGATCATCATTCTTTGAAATAGGAAAAGTCGAAAGTCTACTTTGTTGAGACTTGAGAGAACATCCTGAAAGTAGAAACAGTGGAACTTTGGAGGCATTTTGATTAATAATAAATATTAGAAAAATAAATCGCACTAGAGTGAAACCTGTTCCACGCACCAAGGAAAATATACTTAGCGAAGTAAGATATAATTCCACCATTATCTTTCTGCTGATTATTCGAGAAAGGGAAGGAAAACGGTACTTAGACCATTACTAATCTTGGCATAGAACAAAACCATTACTTCTTGGCATAGAACAAAAAGGCAAAGGCTAGGATAGTGAAGATAGTAAGAGAGTTAGGATTGTCTCAGCATGGAAAAAGGAATAAAATGGTGTGACAAAAAAGGGTTAAAACAACAAGGTAGGTGGAAAACTCCACAAGGTTCTTGTCTCCATGATGACAATGCAATAGCTTGCCTGCAATGCATCTCAGCAATCACATATGCCAAGGAGAAACTTGATGCTGGGAATTAATGATGTACATTCTTGGAAACAATTCTTTAAAGGCTAGCACAAAATCATTTAGGATATAGCCAAGAGTGAGAACATGTATGGGTGCATATAGTGGGAAGAAAATAGGGGGAAATGTTGGAGGCTTGGTGTATGTGATAACATGAATTACAAATTCAATTCCAAGATCATAAAGGTAGCCTTTGTTAACTATTTTGGGACATAAGAGACAAAGATAATGGGGATTGAGGGGGCATGTCTCTTGTAATTGCTTTGAAAGTAAAAAAGTTCACTCCAAAAATGTATTGGAGATATTATTTTTATCTTTGTCTCATCAACCAAACAAGCATCTATTTCTTTTGTATCTATCTTTTTTGTCCTTGGACACTAACTGGACGTGATCAAAGAGACCGCACATAGAATGCATAGAGAAAAGGATTGTGCCAATGTATAAACTAGCCCTCCGGTTCAATAATGAAGCATCATATCCGAAGTATCAACTTCCTAAAATTGTTTACAATTCCTCTCTCCTTTCTCACCATGATGAAGTCTTTTCATTCATCATTCTTTATTACACAATGAAATCTCTATCAACTATTAGATAGAGATTGCTGGCACAATGAAACTACTTGCAGACTGTGCACTGCCTTATCCGTTGAGGTAAATTTTTTATATATTAATTGTGATTATGTGGTAAGAACAAAGAACAGCCATGCATTCAATGCTTTGAACCTGCTTGAGTATTCCTGTCAGTTAATTTTAGTAGCAGAACATGGATGTCATTTAGATACTGTTTCGTTTTCTAACTTGCAGATGTCAGTGAAGTTTTTATCAAGAATATCTTATCAAGTCTGGAATACCATTTTATTACTATTATGAAACAAGCTACTTAGTTAATATTGATTTTACTACTGCTATGAAACAAGCTACCTAGTTAACTTTCATGAGGTAAATTTGCAATATTTTTCAGGTGGCCGGAGTCCAGCAAACCTACCACCAGTTCCACCATGAGTCAGTGCCCCGCATATTTACACCACAACTCACTCTTTCAGCCTTTCTTGGACGAATGCTCGTGGGGATACCAACAATACTCATTGTGAAGTACTGCAGCAAGGCACTGGCAAAATGGATCCTTCCTATTGTAACAAACACCTTGGGCATTCCTATAAAATCAACCAGCTACATCCCCATGCTAAAAGGATCAGTTACTGGTAAAAAGACGGAAGAGCTTAAGCAATCAGGTTATATTAAGAAGTTACCCGTTTTCTCATCTCAGGGCTCATTTGATGTTGACACGGGCATTAGATTCCTCCAATACTCAGGCCTCGCTTGGTCTGTGGTGGATCTTGTTCCTTCTCTCTTTTCGTATCTGAGGTTGTAAAGATCCTAGGGTGAATGTATCATACCTTCATCTTATATATATAATTGCATAATTTTTTTCATCGATGATGACACCTCCCCCTTGGCAACTGATCTTGTCCATAAAATGCCATTGCTCTTTTCGCAGCCTTTACCCTCTGATTGCTCTCTTATGGCCTCCTTTGTCACCAGGTGGCAATTGTAGTAGAACCGGAATTTTGGGAAGATCCTAGGCCGAATGTCGCAATCCATTTGAGTCATAATAATATAATGTGTGTGTATGTTTTCTCTCGCATGAGTCATAATGTTGTTAAATACAACATCAGTGCTGATGACTCCGGATTTATAGATCATTAAGGCAATCTTTGGGTTTCCATGAGGACTTGACGTGCAGTGAGCATAGCAAATTAAACTGCGGGGTGCCCTTGGCGAGATATTAAAATCCAAGCGGTGATCGTTTTTAATTTCAACGAAGCATCCACGCGCTCATATCACAGAAGAGAAAGCACCATTCGAAAAACTCTAGCATGGAGCGTCAAGTAGACGGCAACCTCATTGTCCCCATAGAGGCCCCGGAAGGAAAGCTAAATATGAAACAGGGATACCTTACATTCTACTGCTTCACTGCGCATCAACTTAGCCGATTCCCACAAAAATATCCAGCGTGGTTTCAAGCACAAGACAGGAAAGAAAAGGCATCCAACTTGCCTACTATAATACAGGCTTTTCTCATCCCATGACCATCAGCAAGGCATACTAGAACTTAAATTTGATAGACCCAAAGTAACTAGGATCCACACAGATAGGGATTTGGGGTTGGGGGGGTGGATGAGGAAGTGGTGGTGGTATTACAAAAGGCTGCTTACAGGAAGTAATCAGGAGTTCTACGGGTAACATCAGGTTCTCCCCTCCTGGGAGCTGGCTCAAACTGTAATGCACCAAAAATCCAAAATGAGAAACTGGCACTAAAATTATGTAAGATCTTGTGAAGAATATCAGTGGATGATATATTACCTGGATGAATGTGTGGCCCTTGCAGTCATCAACTTCCAGTATGGAGGCCATATTTCCACAGCGGTAACAATAATTAGGTGCACTAAATATGGTAACCACCTTTTGTTCCTGTACCGAAGAAACAATGTCATTCCCAAACCTCATTTTCATGCCAAACATGAAAGTGCAAATACTATTCATTAATTTCAAGAATAGTGATTACATGTGCCCAATTAAATCCGTCCATAACAAGCTGATGTGCTCTAGCAATCAACTTCAAGCTGTTAACATGATTAAATTGCTCAGATATATCCTGCATAAAATAACAAACGTAGATGAAGAGAACTCAGGAGAAATGAGGTCACCATTTTAACTTTGATAAAAACAACACATTCTTTGCATGAATAGAGATAGAATGCGTGAAGCTCAAGTTACCTGGCCAAAGGTATACCCGGCACCACGAGGTGATATACCCCAACCACATCTGTCATCTGGATCAGACCACAACAGATCACACATGGCTCCTTCATGAGGAACTTCTTGAACACGATCAAAGTTCCTTATGTTATCAAGGGTCTCTATGGTTGGGGACAATCCACCATGTAAACAAAATATTTCAGACTCAACCTATGAAGCAAAAAAGGAAAAAGAAGAGCTTCAGGAGTTACTAAATATAGCCAATAACCAATGATGCATTTCAACTTCCATCAAACCATTAGCTTTCTACTGTCACTGACTTCCATGACTTCCAACACTCTAGTTGATCTTAGCTTTCTTAAACACCAAATAAAGCTGCAAAATTCACCCAAGAGATTCCTCAAAATAATATGACACAATTTCTGGTGATATATGTAGTGAGAAATGAAAAATTTGTGATGACCACATTTGTAAATAACACTAAACCAGGAAATCTTCTAGTCAAACTCATAAGATGGGCAACTCACACCAGTTTAGAAGGATCATTTTGGAACATGAAGAAGCGTAAGCTGGAGCTTCCAAAGACCACAGTACTAGGAAATACAGAGTCATGATTGACCAAATGATACAGCCTCGAAAGGCTAATTTAACAACGTTATCAAAGTATGCATAACAGTCATAACGGTGAGATTTGAAAATGAAAAACAAAAAAGAACTCAACATGAGTCAGCTAAAAAGAATCTCTTCTATATCTAGCTAGGGATTAGAGCAGGTTGGTTAATATCTCCCAATTTATTTTCCCACACACCCAGTTCTTTTTTTCTTTTTTTTCTTTTACTACTTACAAAATCAATAGTAGGCCCCCGAAATAGAAAGTCTTACTAACCAATGCAGTCAATGGGAAATAGTCAAAAAGGTCGGTGAAGATCTTCCAAACATTAGCATTACCATACCTGTAACAAGTCATAAGAAAAGAGTAATAGAAGAGATTTGAAAGAAAAGATAAAAAATTTACAAAAATACTGCACAATAGTATGTTAGATGTGTCAAATTATTGCAGTGGATCTACAAGGGCATACCAACAGCAACTCAGACAAATTCAACAAGCTAGTCTCCCACAATAATACCACTTATAATCAATACTTGTTTTGCACATTTATCAACTGTTTCCATCACTATATTAGCGCGCTTTGAATTATAACAAAGTGCTAGCCCTACCTTATAAGAAGTGAAGTTATATGTAGCAAAAAGGAAGTGCATGTCAAAATGTAGAAACAGATAGAGAAGGAAGTGTTCTATATCAACAACAAAAGCAGTCAAATGCTATGCACATGAATATGCTGTAATGAAAGAAACTTTGACCAGATAATCCAGAAACTTCACAAGCAATGAAGACGTATGAAACCAGCAACAGAAATTCCAAGGGAGCATCTAATTTGTGCCCATCTAATTTTATTACCTAATTTTAATCAGATAATCAAGAAACTTCACAAGCAATGAAGATGTAAGAAACAGTGACAAAATTTCCAAAGGACCATCTAATTTGGATTAAGACAAGCCCAATTACAGCAAAGTAGAGGTGAAGCACATTAATATGTTACTATATCCTTTAAGCAAGTTGTTGCATGGACTTGATACATGGAAGAAAAAAAAGGATAGAGCTGAACAAGAGAAAAGAATGCACAGTGATCCCATGTAGGGGGGATAGGATGCCAGAGGTTCTTTAAATGTAAAAAATTTACCCCAGCATGAATGTATTACATTGATGAAAAAGGACCCTACAAGTCAAAAGTTGTCAACTTGTAAAACTTCAATACCACTATTTTCCAATGGTGCTATCTTTTTTTTCTCTAAATAGCTGTTGAGTTATGCAAATTTGAACTTTCTCAAAACTTGACCAAAAACTTTTACAAGGATCCCACCAAATGCATTACTCAAACATGCAAAAGTAGGAGGGAAATTAAAAATGCTTGCAAGGATTATTAATACCATTGCAAGGATTATTAATACCAATGCAGCAATCAAAAGGTAGTTATTGGAACCAAAAAAATAGACTTGGATGCAACTGTAAGAACATTGCTGATAAATTCCAATGGATAAAATCATGCAAAAAAAATAAACAAATTGACGTAAGCTACATATGCATTATAAATGCATGTCCAGCATGTGCTGCACACTTATTATTAGAAAATATCAGTACTACTAAAACTTATAGCCAACTAATAAAGGTTGCAAACAAAAAACTTACTTTCTTAGACATTCATCATAAAACCCATAAACTTGAGTAATCTGCATGGAGAAGAAACGATGGAAGAACGATGGAAGCAATCAGTATTTCCATATGCTGGCACAGCCCACAATTTGAAGTAAACACAATTAGTAAAATTAACATTTAACTTCAACTGTCCAAAATAAAACTAAGTATCACATCTTCTAGAAACCTCCATTGAACATCCACCTCCAGGAATTAAGTGAAAAATCTAGATGATGAAATGTCTATCGTACACTAAACTGCTTAAAATTACAAATCCAGGTTACAAGTTTACAACAGAAGCGTTTATAAAAGAAATAGAAAGACCCACACAGGATCCAAGCATTACCACAGTGGTTAGTATATGTAAAAACTCAAGATGAAAATGTTCACAAGAAATAAAGTACCTGGCGACTTTCATGGTTTCCTCTGAGAATGGTAATCCTATGATGATAGCGCACTTTCAATGCCACCAAGAGCTGGGAAAATATATCAATAAGTGTCACCAATTTAAATCTTCCAAGTGTCAGGCATTTTCTATGCTCAGATTGGGTAGCAGCACAGTTTAGAAAGGTAGTATTTGAAATAATTACCTCAAACAGGAGGCATAGAATGTTAACATGCAATTTATATTAGCCAAACCATACATCAAAGAAAAGCCGGTCAGAAATTCAAGGATCATTGCTCAAAAATTATCACCAGCTCTTAAAATTGGTCACAAGCATTGGCATTATCCCTTAAATCAAATTCGAATTAACACATGAAGAACATTTAATTGTGCCACTAAACTATTTTTAAATTATTTCTCCAGCTACTTCAGCCCTATCACGATATTGTGGGAAGAGGAACGAGCCTCAGCAACAAGGGTCCTTTTTGAGTTTTTGTGGGTATAAGAAGTTTTGTAATATAATCAAGGCCACTAGTCTATCATGGATATCTATGCTTCCTTCTGTTAGTATATGTAAGCAAAGAGTGGAATGACATACAGCCTATCGAATACCAATCAGTTTAATAAAGCAATGAAAAGCAAATGACTGGATGGATTATGTACATACCGTCACGGTTTCAACAGAATAATAGCCACGATCCACATAATCCCCCATAAACAAGTAATTGGTGTCAGGACACTGTCAATAAATTTTAAAGTGGTCACAAGTCTAATCAGGGAATTAGATAGTAACGAAATCTAGAGCAAAATACAACTAATGAACCAAAAAAAAGAAAGATTGTATATAGTAGATATTCTATAGATGAACCCAAAGGACTAATCAAAACACAAGGTGAAACAGCACAATGAACAAAAACAAGTAGTTTCCTGACAAATGACAATTTACTTGACTATACCTCAGGATAACTTGAATCTTCAAAAGCATTTGGCACAGGTCTCAATAAACTATCTAAGATAAAGCCCTCATCTGAAACAAAAGAG